GTGTTCATCTCTGTTTCAAAGCCAAAGAGCCAGCGCTGTTCGAAGACGTCTCCGTGGTCATGTGGCCTGCATGACTAAACGCCAAAGGCGCACGGAATGCTGTTACCTTCCCATCAAAGGTGGCCCCTATTTTTCTACTTGCATTTTTATGTGCTTTCAAACTGCTAGGTTGGCAGAAACTGGGACAAGTAACAGGAGGTCACCCCGTTAAGCAGCACTAAGGATTCGAACCGCTGAACTGCTGACCTTTCAATCGATAAGCTCAAAAAATTTGTTTTTTTACTAATGGCTTAATATTATGGAAGTCTCCTCCAGGAAGCAAGATGTTGTCCTGTTAAAAGAAAGTGTAAGAAAAAGTTCTTCTTGATGGCTTTAAAACACAATTTATTGGGGAATGGCAGGTAGGCTGTGTGTGTGTGTGTGTGTGTGTGTGTGTGTGTAGAGGGAGAGAGAGATTATTTTTAATGTTTATAATTGTTACATTATGGTGTTATGCATATATATGGATTATCTCTATACACTATTACTGGTAAGGGTTGTGTTACTGTGGTGCTTTAGAAATCCACAACAACAACAACAAATTCTTTACTGTATGCAAGTCCTACACCAAAGAGAAATATAATCAAAGAACACAAACAAGACAACTCCCTTATCTTCCTGGCATCACTCTAACTGCAATCCTCCACCAAAAAAAGAAAAAACAGATACAACAGAGAACTGTACTGAATACCCTCCTGATCCTCCTACACGCTCAGCACAGGCTAGTACAAGGCAGATCTAATCCCATCTGTTCATCTCATCTTCCAGAGGAAAACCTTTAGCCTCTGCATCTCTTTTCAGAAAAGTCGGCTAACCTCAGGTTTACTTCCCTCCAAGTCCTTGGACACAATGACAAAAGGAGAGAGGATAAAGGGGGAAAGATGAGTCATCCACATGGAATGCAGTGGACTCAGTATTCATCTTTTTTTTTTAAAAAAATCTCTTTTTTTTAATAATAGAATCCATTATGCCCTACGATCTTCGGCCATGTAGTTCCTGGAGCAACTGGTATGATGCACTGCCCACTGTCCTTAAGGTAAATGCTGGCCACAAAAAAATCTAAATTAAATGCATATGTTTTATCAGATATGTTGAACCTTGAAAACTTCACATTAACTCTCCATCTATATAAATCAGGTCAATGGAATAAAATATTTTAAATTCTAGAATGATGTTTTAAACCAGACAGCCAGAAAGTGCATGTGAGTGGGGGTGGAGAATCTAATGACATTATAATTTAGAAACGTGGGATTTTTCCAGGACTGAGAATAAAGATTAACTTGCAAAATTGGCATGTAGCTAAATTAGAAATATTAACACATTTTCTAATTATACTGTGGAGATTATTAGACAATGTAATCTGTATTTTAAAAAGCCACTTTCTGACTTTCAGCTCAAAGAAATGGATGAGGCAATATTTCTGTTTGTGCATATGAACGCTATACTATGTACAGGTATTCGTCACAACCAATCATTTAGTGACCAGTTACAACAGTGCTGAAAAAGTCACGACCATATTTCATACTTACGACTGTGGCAGCATTCCCATGGTCACATGATCAAAATTGGCAACTGGCATGTATATGAGACAATTGCACTGTCTGGGAGTCATATGATCACCATTTGCAATCTTCCCAGCCAGCTACCGACAAGCAAAGCCAATGGAGGAAGCCAGATTCACTTAACAACTGCAGTAATTTACTTAACAACTGTGGCAAAAAAATCATAAAATGAGGCATATCTCACAACAACTGCCCTGTTACACAGTTGTTAGCAACAAAAGTGTTAGTCTCAATTGTGGTCGTAAGTCAAGGACAATCTATACCTAGCTGATGTAAGGGAAATACCTAATCCAGTGATGGCTAACCTTTTTGCCACCGCGTGCCAAAAGCTGGGGGAGTGCGGGGTGGTCGCGCACGTTCGTGCCCTCACCCATAATTCTAGGCGCCCTGCCCCCCACGCATGCACGCGCAATCGCCCCATGCTCCCCTTGCTTTTGGCATGTGATGGCCCAGTAGGCCTGTTTTTTTGCCCTCCCCAGGCTCCAGAGGCTTTCTAGGAGCCTGGGGAGGGCGAAAACTGCCTCCCCCCCCCAGAAGCCGGAAACAGCCCATTTGCCGACTTCTGGTGGGCCCAGAAGGCCGAAAAATCATGCGTGCTGGAGCTGAGCTAGGGCAACGCTCACGTGCCCACCAATATGGCTCCACATGCCACCTGTGGCACGCATGCCATAGGTTTGCCATCAGGGACCTAATCTCTACATATAGGGTAGATAACCTGCTGCCTTCCAGATTTTGGGGGCAGGAAAGGGAGGACACAAAATAATATCAATACTCATACAAGGTAGATATAAACTGAGACATTGCTTCCATCTGCTGGGGGCTATGGGATCCAAAGAATTAGAATCAGAAATTTCAAATATACCACTGAATCCAACCTCCTCTATGCAGGAGTCCAGCAGATATAAAGCAATCTCAACAGATGATCATGCAGCCTCTATTTAAACACGTTCACCAAACAGAGCTCAACATTGCCGGAACAATTTTTTTTTACTTTTTTACTATATTCAAGTTGAATCTGTTATAGCTTTATTACAATTACTTTGTATCCTGCACATTGGGATGACAACACAGAGCAAGACCCTTCTGGTGCAACAATCCAACTCATACTTATTTCCTTCAAATTCTTATCAGATTTAAGTTTCGTGCTTCATTACCATGTTGTTTACTCTTCTCTGATCCTTCTTAGTTTAATTCCCAGAAGCACAGTATTGGGTCTGACAAGTGCAGAGCGCATTAACTTATTTTCTGTGTTTTGGAAATTATACTTCTACTGATGCAGCTGAAAATTATGTCTGTCTTTTTGTACCACGCTGCTGACTCATATTTGTCACATATTATTATATATTCAACTACCACGCCAAAACAAGTATCTTCCACTATATTTTTTTGAACATCAGACTTCTTCTATCTAGAGGAAGAGGTCTACACATGTTTCTGTTAAAATTCCATTTCAACATTTTCCATTATAATGTAGGAAAACAAGTCAGAGCTGCCTCTGGAGAACCTTATACCCACTGGTAACCAGGACAAGAAATCCCTTCATCACAATCCTAATGAAAACATAGTTATACGAAGCATATCTTAAAACTCAGTACACTGTAATAAAACCACTTTGTAGCAAAAATGTCCATCCAAGAAAAAGAAAAAGACCATGAAACTGGGTTGGTATTAAAATGTTTCTATTATGCACAAAGTAGAACACTGGAGAAGATGAACATGACTTGTAGCTTAGTGGATAAATGGCTGCCTTCACATAACATATTCAGCTAAAATCAAATCATAGTCTTCTGCATTAAGAAATAGTAGTAGTATATGATGTGAATATGCAATCATACTACTTGGAAGTTTCATTTAAAACTGTAAGATGAGCAACTGAACACTGTGCTACATACAATCAAGACTAAGATAAAAACTAGACAAGATACAACTTTTAAAGGAACCCACAAAAGAAAGCCAGCATTCCATTTAGGTACCATGAAAGGAAATGGTTAACATTCAGGTACTACCACAAACCAAAGTGCTATAGATATATGGATATTGCAAAAGAACCGATGTGAATAAACTCCCAGGAAAAATGCAAATGAAAAGAAATGCAGATTATGAGAGAAACAAAGGACAGGAAACTATACCAGAAATGTACCAAGCAAATCACAAACATGGCAGAGGCCTAATAAGAAAAAAAGAGTGAAGTTCTATCTTCCAAAGTGTTCCAAAACAGAAAAGGCCACCAAAACATACTTCTCTAACCAGCCAAATGTATCATAATACAGCTTCACCCAAAGTGTGACTAAATACTTACCCAGAAACAAATTATTTGACCTCATCCACTGATTTAAACATGTATTTCGGGACAAGTAAAAAGCTTGAATCTTGTACTGGTATTTTGCCCCATGTGAACAAAGTACTAAGAGTACCAAAAAAAAGAAATGTGGCAGTCCGAGGATGAAGCGGAAAGGGATGCAGCGATGGAGAATAAGGATAAAAAGGCGAATTTGCTGGATATGCCAGATACAGACAGATGCACGCGCGCATGCACAAACACACAAGAGGGGGTTATTGCTGAGGGGAAAAACTGGAGTCCTCTTATTATGCCACCACCAGTCCTCTATATGCCACCTCGAGCTCCTGAATGAAGGAAAGGCAAGACATAATAAAATACGGTAAATGATTTGAGAAGGATTCTGTATCTTTAAGAATTAATGCAGAATACTTTAAGCTCCACTAGGCCCAAATCCTCTTTTCTCCTCCAATGTGATGCTAGGAGAAATTACACGGCTTGCAAATAAATATATATTCCCTTTTGGGGGCCGCTGCTAAGACGAGGACCTGCCTAGGTTGGGGAGGTGGTCCTTGCGCTGCAGAAACCGGAGAGAAGGGATCAGGGAGGAAAAGAGGGACGGGAGAGGAGGAGAGTCCGCAGGCAGAAACGAGGGCCCAAAACAGAGGCAGGCGGTGGGAAAGGGCTGCCTGGGGGAACGAGAAAAGCAGGCGCAGCCGAGGCGCGGCGGCGAAAAGGGCGGCAAGAACTCTTTCTTCTTAGGCGGGAAACAAGACGGGCTTCTCAACCCGGGCACCGCCGCCGGCCTTGTTTGGAGGTTGGTAGCATCTGGCCGGGATCAGGCCAGCCCCGCCGACTCTCGCTTGGCCCCAGTTCCGGCTCTATGTCGAGGCCCCCGCTGCACGCCGGAGGGAGAAGCCAGCTTGTTCCCGCTGAACCCAAGTGGGAGGCTCTGCAACTAGGCCGTGCATCCCCCGGCTGGCGTAGCGGACGCGGCTGGCCAGCGAGCGAGGCAGAGAGAGAGAGAGAGAGAGAGGGAAGGAGGGAGGGACGAGGCCAGAGCGGGGCGCCGGGAAAAGGGTCAGACGGAGGCGCCTTCACCCCACGCCCGCCCGCCATACCTGGTCCGTGATGCTGAGAATCCCCATCTCCGGGCGGGGCCGCCCCCCCTCTCAGCAGCGCCGCCGCCTTCTCCTCCGCGCTCCCGGCATCGATCGCGCTTCGGCTGCCGCGGCGCCCTCCGGCTGCTTGTGGGGCGGCGGGCGGGGAGGAACTCAGCCCGCCCACCGGAGGGAGGAAAGCAGGCCGGCCGTGCCGACGTAGCGACCCCTGCCGGGGAAGCCCGCCCAGCCGCTCCTCCCAGCCCCCGGGGACCAGGCCGGGGAGCCCCTGAAACCGGCTCTCCTTTGCAGCTGCGGTCCCGTCTTTTCTCCACCCGCTTCCCCGGTCGCTTTTTCGCCCGCTGGGCCTTGCGTGCTTAGCCAGCGGCTCCTGGGGCGTGAAACCCAAGAGACGGGGTTGAGCCAAGCCTGGTTCCCGGAAGCATGGCCATGCACGTGTGTCGTGCAAACATCTGCGGGTCCGAACCCGGGCAAATGAAAAAAGGCCGCGTCGGAGGCTTGGCGCTGCACCAGCTACGTTGGGTTGATTTTTTTTTTTTGGCCTCGAAAAGTTAAGGCGGGTGGGTTGGGGATAATATACTTGGCTCATGGGAGGCCAGAGTGGGAAGTTTTTAAAAGTTGAAAAACAATTCGAAGCAAAGCCAGTAGCAAAAATGCCCATAACCAGAATATTGCCAGAAAACTACAACTATAGTAGTTTTATGTGAAGTTTTAAGTTTGTCAAGCGTATATAAGATGACAGGTAAAAAGTATAAACAATTTGAATACATGAAAAGAGGAAGTAAAAAAGAATATGACAGGAACGGTAGGCACCCTGGTGCACTTATGTACGCCCTGAAGTTTACCTTATGAGACGTTTTATACTGTTTCCATTGTGGGAAGACACCCACCCCCCTCCTAGAGAATGAAATATTTTGGGGAATATTAAAAGAGATAGAATATTATATTTCCTCAAAAGAGAAATGGAGAAACATAAGAGGCAGAAAGCAGCACTCAGTCTGTCTTCTACAGCAGATGCCCATTAAGAAATCCTGGGTCACAAACAAAACACCTTCACCTCCAGTGATGAGATTAAAATTTACATCCTTCCCCCACCCAGATCCTAAGGACAGGACCTTTTAGGACATAATAGGATTAACCCACCACCATTAGAATAAGAAAGACACCAAGCTCATTACATTGCACAATCCCTGCAGCATTTCAGAAACACTATAAAAATCCTTGCACTCATCAAGCTAATTTGTCAGCTGCCCCAGAACTGCATGCTATGGTTCTGCTCAACAAAAAACTGAATCCTTTCCACTCAGCCTCCATTTTATTTCCAGCACCTTTCTCCCAGCTTGGAACTGAACCAGATGGATCTTTTCTTTCTTCCTACACCAGGGGTGTCAAACTGGTGGCCTGTCGGCCAGACCCATCACATGCGGGCCATGCCCACCCTGGCTCCGCAAAGGCAAAAAACATCACGATACATCACGTGACGCGATCAAGTTTGACATCCCTGTCCTACACCATCTTCCCTTTAAACATTAACAGAATCCACAATGGTCTGCGAATCAGTATCTCCACTAGATAATTGATAGTCAAGATGAAACGAAATTAATCAAGTAAAAATAGCAAATGGGGAAAATCCTTTACTCAAAATTCTTCAAACTCCCAAATAAGTTACCCAGACCTAATCCCCATTTCAAAGGATAACATTTGCAAACACAAATAGAGTTAGTTAAATTAGGTCTCCCACTGGAACTGCGTGTTCACAAGAATACACACATACCTCAAGTGTCATCCTAGAATCAGCACATGGACACTTCCCACACTCGGGACAAGCTCCCTTCTTTAACTGTTGCTTTACCTCATTTCTCTTTCAAGAGTTCGCCTTTAAGCATAGTGTACAAACACAGATTTGTAGTCATCAGTTGTAGAAATATGAATCTCTAGTTAAAGTGGCTTTAGTAGTTTCCACTGGGAAAAATAAGAATGTGGTATCTCCACTCTCTATTGATTTAGACTAAAGTGGAGTGTGGATAGATGGATGAGTGTTTAAAATATTCTGAGCTCCAAATTTTAACATTTATGGGATTAACTTCATCTCAGGTTTACTCCTTTTAGAGTGCTTAAGGTTATTAATAAAATACACATACACATACACATTCTATGTATCATTTAAGTAAGCAGTTTCATTGCTTATCCCTGCCCACAGTATTGATTTCTTCATAAAATGGTGTTGCATGCACTGCTTCTTTAGGCCATTAGATGTTTTAGGATATTTGTTGCTCTTTTCTCTGAATGGCTATTAAAATCATCTGTGTTCTGGTAAATTTGCTACTTGAGCTGCGAGAAACTATCTTCTTTACATTAAGACACAGTACTCATTAGGTGCTTCCTAAAACCACCAGAAACTATAAAAATGATTTTTTCCCCCTCTAATTTGTTGTGTAGTTGGATAGATTAGGATTTGGAAACTGTAGCGAGGATAATTTATGTTAAAGAGTATACTTTGCTCCCTGTCCATACATCTTTAAAATATATATGACAAAAATACCATAAATCTTCAAGATTGAAAAGAAAATTGCCTGGAATGTGTGGCACAAATGCAGATGGGAAAATGCCAGGTGTATATTAATCCTTTGCATTTTACTGGAATTGTGTTCAGTAGGGCCTACATTCTAGTGAAAAGTTCTACTGAGTATCTTGTGTGTATCCATATAGGATTTTGCAGTTAATTGAACATGATACAGATAAAAGGTCTCTACTGACTCAAATGCTACCCACAACTCATAAAAAGAGTTTCATAATTATTCAAGAAATTAAGAACTTCCCTTTGTAATTTCTGTTTAACTCTGTATAAGCATATAATTATAACCAAGTCAGCCAATGACAGACAAATATTTATGACTGTTGCCCAAATATAACATTATAGACTTCCCTTGTGTTTTTTTAAGGATAGGCCTCTGCTCAACATGTTTTAAGAGTCTTTGATCTTCTGTCCATTTATCACTGCATTCCATACTTGCGGAGATTCAAGTTGAAAAATGCTGAGTTGCTGTCTTTATTAAACTTAAATAACATTAGAGTTGTTTCATACTGTATTATTAAAAGCAATATAGAATATTTGATTTTATTTCATTTTGATTTATTGGAATTTTGGAGAAAATTTGGTGTGCCTTTCATTATTGACTATTGATATTTAATAATGTGTTAGAAAGGTTGGAGAATGTATTATTCCTTTAAAGTGCTACCGTGTTTTCCAGAAAATAAGACTGGGTCTTATATTAATTTTTGCTCCAAAAGACGCATTAGGTCTTATTTTCTGGTTAGGTCTTATTTTTAGGGACATACGGTACTAAATGCACCAATCTGGCTGACAATCTTAACTGGGCCTTATTTTGGGGGTAGGGCTTATATTATGAGCATCCTGAAAAATCATGCTAGGACTTATTTTCTGGTTGGCTCTTATTTTCGGGGAAACAGGGTACAATGCAGGTAAGACTTGATCTTCGTTGTACACCATATCCTAAAGCCTTGTAACTTGTGGTTGCCTGTAACTGATGGTCAATATCTAAACTTCAAGAATTATATGAAAGGAGAGCAATTACTGTTCTAAATGTACAATGGATCTTAGTACAATAAATGGTAAAAATTGCCATTAATGCCTTTTACAATGTTAGATTAGTTTTCACAATTCCCATTTAGTATAGACAGCACTATTTTGATTAAGGATTATGGGGACTGAAGCTTTTTTCAAGGTTGTGAAATGATGTGCAGAGTGCAGTAGAGGGCACTGTCCATTCTTTATTTACTTCCAGCATCATGGATCAAAAGTGTCCCATATAATTATTAGTTTTATAGTTATCTTTCTTAAATCCACTCCTATCATTTTACCTTTCATGCTTGTTGAATAAGCAGACATGTCCAGGTAAAGATGCTTTATCTTCATGCTGTAAAAGCTTCACCCATTAATTTCTGCTAATAAAGCTACTGTTATATTAGATTAGTATACAGTAGTAATTACTTTACTTTAATATATAGCCAGTTCTCATGGCCATATTATATTTCTGGGAGATGAACATGCGGTCTGATTTTGGAGAATCTGTCTCCACCTGTTTTAAAACCAGAAGTTATTTAAAAACCAAGTGTTTATGTTTATTTTAAACACCGTGTCTGCCTAAAATATCAGGGACTACATATGCTAGAAAGGGTTATATAGGGATAGTTTTTCTTTGAGAACAGAGCTATACTGAATCAAACCACAACCCCATCTATTTAACAATCTATGTCACTCCAAAGCCAGCTGGATGCTTTTAGGAACCTAATAAGCTTGGATTAGAGAGTAGTAGCCCTCTCCAAATGATGTCTTTTAGCAATCACTGTTAAAAGCATATTGTTTTATCTTTCTGCTTTTAAAACTTATGGGTGGAATGCTCAACTAGGTTTCATGGATTGGACAATGTATGCTTCTACAGCAGTGGAGGAAAGACTCTTGATTTGTTCAAACTGCAAAGCAGCCATATTAGAGGCTCACGTGACTTGTGTCCTTAATTAAATCTGGAGCGTACACAAAAGCCTGAGTCCTAGCTCAAGTCCAGCATTGTTGCTCTTGGCTATCTCTACCATGACCTTTTCCTCCTTTGTTCTCCTTCCATAATTTGATCATTGAGGAAAAATAGAGGGAGGAAGGGAGGGAGGAATGCTGTCGTTTACCATTGCTTGGTAAAAGAGCTCTGAAATTTTGGAGTATGGCCAAATCAGTGTCTCCATTTCCCAACCTTCACAGACAATCCAGAAAGGTATCTGAATACAACCGAGAAATCCAGTATGATCAGGAGAGGGAGATATTCCTCCATTCAGGACCTAATTATGGCTATCCTTTGAAACCATGTTTCTGAACCTTAGCTGCTTAAAGATGTGTGGACTTCAACTCCCAGAATCCCCCAGCCAGCTATGCTGGCTGGGGGATTCTGGGAATTGAAATCCATGCATTTTCAAATGGCGAAGGTTGAAAAACAGTGCTTAAAAATGACTAGTGCTTTTTCTGACCCATGACTAGGTCTGAACTACAACTGAAGAAGAAAAACAATACTTTCAACCAAAATATGCATGACTGGTTTTCACTCTAATCATACTCAGAATCATGACAAAAGATCACATGAGGCACATTTCCTGCCATTTAGAAAATAACCCTTAGGAATTTAA